AATATACATATATATATATATATATATATATATATATATAATATATATATATATATACATATATATATATATATATATGTATATATATATATATATATATATATATATATATATATACATATATAGATATATATACATATATATATATGTACAAACGAAAAGATATGTTGACATACACAAGGACAAGCGACCTATAACGAATTCGAAACCTATAGTCGTGCTCGACGCTACATACCCATGTATTTTGCGAGCACGAATGCATAGCTACATATTATCCATCATCCGTAGTAAGCGTATAGTATAGGACAGGCCAACTCATATAATTTGTACACAACGCTCATCAGGCACCTGTGCATAGTAACACATCATCACCAACCCTCCATAGTAAGCATACAGTACAGTTGCGAACGCTGTTAAAAAGAGACGACTTAGCACTTACGAGTGGCCTTTCAGGATGGCTTCGACCTTCGAGGACTGGGCATTCCACAGATACACAGACCCGTCTTGCGAGCCCGCTGCGACGAACTTGGTTTGTGGGCTGTAGAGTAGGGAAGTATGCCGATTTAGGGACATGGCGTTTCCAAAGCTCGCGAAATATCGAGGCAAATGAAAATAATCGGGATTGCGTAATTTTTTGGATCATGAGATGTGCAAAGTAGACGCGCAACCGATGCAAGATTGAAGTGTATCCAATGGTAATCAGATGTGCATCTAATCAACCAGTTAAAGCTTCACATTGTGTTCTCTGGGAACAAGGAGCGCCACTGTGCCTTTGCAACAGAGTGAGTAACTCAGTCAGTCGAGGGCTCACCTACTGAATGTTATTGCAATAGCCACGTCTCTCGAATGAATATATAATACTCCCGAATAAAAAACCAGTCGACAGAAATTGAATACTTTCTCCACAGAGAGGTTGCCGCTTGAACGCATGTCGTGAGAAGAACAAGAATAGGAATATACCTGAAACATGCTGAGGCCCAATTCGTAGGTGTCTTGTAGCCATCACCGCTGTGAAAGTGAACATAAAGATAAAGTATTTATACCATACGTTTAGTATAGGCGCTCGACTGCGACTCACAATGTACTCTCAAGATCAAGCAAATAGAATATATATATATATATTCAACTACACATAGATACATACATACGTACATACTTACATGCATAGATACATAGATACATAGATAGCTATATACGCACATACATGTATAGGTACATACATAAATACATAGATACATGCATACGTACAAACGTACATCCACCCATCCATCCATCCATCAATCCATAGATGCATAAATACATACATAGATACATAGATACATACATACTTATATACTTAGATAGTTGTAAATGTCAAGCGTGATACTCATAAAATATCAAACGTACGGTCACCTGTTCACATACCACATGGGGCGCACACCTAGAACATAATCAAAATAGTTGGACTCTATAAGTGTGGTGGTGCGCTTGACTACAAGCCTGTATGCGAAGTGCGCTATATTTGTCCACAAGTCATACGACCACCTCTCCACATACCACATCGTAGCTACAACCTGGGACATTCGTAAGTCGATCAACTTGAGTGTGTTGTCTCTCGATTGCGTCAGTAGGGTATTGCGATCTGTCAAAACCAGAACAATTTGTATACCGTTAATATTTTAAGACCGTCGGAGCCATAGGTTACTTTGAATTGTTTCGCACCAAGTGAAACAAATTCAGATCGATAGCTCGCGAATTATACCTACTTGAAACATGCGGGGAATATCTATTGACACCAGCTTTCCCTTAAACGATTGACACTCACTTTCCCTTAAACGATTGAAACCCCCTTTCCCTTAAACGATTGACACTCACTTTCCCTTCAACGATTGACACCCACTTCCCCTACAACGAATGACACCCACTTCCCCTACAACGATTGACACCCACTTCCCCTTCAACGAATGACACCCACTTCCCCTTCAACGAATGACACCCACTTCCCCTTCAACGAATGACACCCACTTCCCCTTCAACGATTGACACCCACTTCCCCTTAAACGGGCAAGATGATGCATATTTGCCTATATCCAGCGTCCCTTTAGTACGTGTTCAAGGACTATACATTCTTACACATCTGATATTCAAACAAATATAGCAGTTTCAATGCTGTATTGCGTTACCTTCAGCCATGTCCAGAGATGTGATTTGCCCCGTGTGTACACCGCTGAGCTCATTCGTGCACTCACCCGAGCGCGTATCCCAGAACCTGATGTGCTTATCCACGTGGCCGCTAATAACTCCAGTCCTACACATTAGCGGATGGGTAGGAGCATGAGAGAAGATGAATAACAAAATAGAGTGCTTAGACCAGAAATGAGCACGAGGGAGTGTGGGAAAACATGGCCTAGCTCTGTGGTGGTATAAAAACCGTGTAGTTTGTAGACTTCATCACACAACTGTTCGCAGTCAGAGTATCATGGAGGTTCTAACCTCCATGCAGAATGTGGTATAAGCGGTCGGAAACAGACGTGAGAGTCGATGACTCGATTCATCCGAACACCACCTGCTGTACACAGCACCGAATGGTACATTGTGCCGCACGACGGCCTCCCAATGCAATCGAATCAACTCACAACGCACTTGCAATAGGCCAGAGGACTAAAACAACACTTCAGCAATCCGTGCATAGCAGCGGAACGCCACCGGAGAATTAAGTGACCAACTACCACACTGGCAACGACATCCCGATAGAATAACACGGTATATATAACACACCCAGCAACGTATATATAACACAGCCAGCAAGGTACATATAAAGCAGCCAGCAAGGTACATACAACACACCCAGACTCGTCCGTGAGAACCAAGTCGTTGCACGACGAGAAGGTGAACATCGTCCTGTAGCAGTAGCCTTTCAGTAGGTCCCAGATCTTGATGGTCCGGTCGTGGCTACCCGTGACCTGCCGAGGGGTATGAGAGGTGCGCGTGAGAATGATGCATTCTGATTGGCCAGTTGACATGCGTACGCAAATAAATATGGTATGGAATGCTGATAGAACACTGGCTTGCCATTTGGAGTGCCCGGTTGATAAAGCCAAAAATGTGCACCTGTGAAAGGTGTGCCCCTGTGCAATATCACTTTGGTATGCGAAGGCGCGCGAGAGACGGGCTATGGGATTGCTGCGTGCTGATTGTGTCACAGATATAGGTATGTACGGGAATGGGAAACATATACTGATGTCTACTGTGGGAAACATATACTGATGTCTACTGTGGAAAACACATACTGATGTCTACTGTGGAAAAAATATACTGATGTCTACTGTGGAAAACATATACTGTTGTCTACTGTGGAAAACATATACCGATGTCTACTGTGGAAAACATATACTGATGTCTACTGAATCACGGTGTACTACCTTGCGGCGTGGCTGTCTGTACCCAGCAGTTGGGGTGGTGTGGTGTCCGCATAGTACATTTCGTAGCATGGTTTAATTTGCCGGTCATACTAAGTTCGCACACTTGAATGACTACAATAATTATTGAAATCGATGCGTGCAAATACCATAAAGCCTCGGAGCTTAAAAGGTCTAACTCCTTATCCTAGAGACTTCAAAACGTTCATTATATTTCTCTCTCCCCAACCGCTACTTTCATCTGCATAACAGACTGCTACCATAATCACATACACAAACCTTGCCACAAGGTATGCCAAACACAAGCGTCTTCAGAAGACAAGTGTACGTATAATCATACAAGTAAGTGTGTACACACATGGGAATGCTAGCAGCCCCATCGAGAGCAGACACATGTTCCTACGACTCGTATTCAATTATTAGAACGCAAAAACAATGCATACGAATACGTTTGCAATAAATTCTCGCACGCACGCATCAGATTTTCAAGTGTATGGCGCAGCACTCGTGAGTGTGTGAATACACCCATAAGTATCATAAACGACTGCTCAGACACATGCTTCGCGACATGAGGCGAGAATATATATATATATATATATATATATATAACACACACACATATATATATATATATATATATACACAC